GCCTCCGGGGTAAGAGATCCTGCTGGCACATGAACCATTAAGATGTTGTGCTTTTCAACCTGGTATCTTGATTCCAGAGAACCCAAAGCCATGTTCACTATAAATTTAATTTATTAAGACATCTTCTCAAATGCTAACGTTTTAGAGCGTCTTTATTAAACATGAATATGCCACCCTGGCTCCAGCAATGAGCAGAACTTAATGAAGATATATTTCCCATGAGCTCCTGGCCTCTCTGCATCCATCAGACATTCTCGGCTGAACCTAAATTAACCTGTAAAAGAACTGATTTGCATCCATAAATCCACAGAAATGAACCAGTACAGGGTGTTTGAGATACCCAGTTTCCATTTCTCAATCTCATAAAATTTTCTTGTTAAACTAAAATATGATCCTTTCTACAAACTGTTTCCATCTTTATTAAAACAGGAAAAAAAGGGAAATCTGAACGACCTATGGTAGTTATTTCCTTAACTAGTTACCATGCCTTAAAAAGAAAAGGATCTAGGATGGCTGGTTAGCTCAGTTGGTTTAGAGTGTAGTGCTGACAGAAAGAAACAGAGAAGGAGAGGAAGGAGAGGAAGGAGAGAGAGGAAGGAGAGAGAGAGGAAGGAAGGAAGGAAGGAAGGAAGGAAGGAAGGAAGGAAGGAAGGAAGGAAGGAAGGAAGGAAGGAAGGAAGGAAGGAAGGAAGGAAGTTTGATATCTGATCATTTTCTTACAGAGAAAACCAACAGGGCACTGTTCAGAAAGGTACCAAAAAACACCTAAGTTTGGGTGATTTTTGTCAGTTCATCTAGACCTCAATCCTGGTTTCCATCCAGCTCTCAGTGAAAGAACTTTTCTATTTTCACAATTAAACCAAAGAAGTCTGATCAATGATAACTTTATCAGAAAAGTATTCTTACTCAATATCCACAATGTGCCACATTCCTTCATATATTATCTTAGCTAATCCTCATCATAGTCATGTGGGATGAATATTATTTCATAAGTGATGACATTTAAGTCCCTTGGATTGCAGGGACCACATCTGGTTCATGTCTGTATCCTCAGCACCAAGCAGGGCCTAGGACACAGTAAGAGCCATCCACATGCTAGAGAATGAATACACGACTAAAGAAGAAGAAAAGAAATCTGGAAAAAACACGCAACATAACTTTTGAATAACTGAGCCCCTAACTGAAACCATTGCCTGGGACACACCTACACATTGCAAATAATCTACTCAAGCTTCTGAGGTTAGTTTCAAAGGGCCATATCATCTTTCCAATGTGTACATCATAAAAATAGTATCCACATTTGGCTACATACTCCGCAAGGCAGGGCCTGGTCCTGTCTCACTTTTCTCCCCAACTCGGAGCACCACACCTTGCAGAGGTGGGTGTTTAATGACCTGAGCGATGACAAAAGCCATGATGACGCAGGGAGTAAAAAACACAAGCTGCCCGCAGCCACTGGAAAAACTGGTCTCTGAGTTGACTTACAGCCCTCTTGAGCCTTATTTTCCTCTCTGTACAATGGGAATAACAGAACATACTCACAAGACTGTTTTTATTCATTTCATAAATATTTACTAAACATTGCCCAAATGCTGGGCACTGTGCTGGGTGCTGGGGACACAGCAGTGAACATAATCATCACATCCTACCTCGTGGAGCTCACAGTCTCAGTGGATGGTGCCAGACTTACATGAAAAAAGTTTTACAAACTTCAAAGTATCACTCCTCCTCTGTGTTTCCCAACTTTGGTTAAGGACATGACCATCCACCCAGTTGCCCAAGCTGTAACTTGGGAATTGTCCTCAACTCCAATCTCTCCTTCATCCTGCCCATTCCCACAATCCCAATAAATCACTAACTTTCTTTTGATTCTTGTTTAGAATAGTCTCTGACATGTATTATTTTTCTTCCAGTTTTCCATGCTTCTACTCTAGGCCCTTTGTTCCTACCTTGCAATATTTATTGCAAGTCCTATTCTAATAATGATAATGGAAAGCATTTATTGATCATTTACTATATGCCAGGCACTGTACTAATAGCTTTGCGTCCATAACATATTTTAATCCTATAAGGCAAATACCAGTATCCTGATTTGTAGAGGAAGAATCTGAGGTGCAGAGTAACCTGCCCTAGGCACACAGCTAGTAAGTGAGGAAGCTACAACTCAAATCCAGGTCTATGAGATTTTATCCTTATCCTATACTGGATTCCTGCCTCCAGTCCCTTCCTGGTCAGTCTACAACTCCCTCCTTTAAGCTGTTGCTAGAATTTCCTTTCAAAAATCCAAGTAGATATGACTCTTGCTTTAAAAGACAGACTTACCATCTCCAAGACAAGATTTAGAGGTTACAGACTACTCTCCAGTGTTATGTCTGGTCCCTTCCCACAGACTCCAGCCAGAGACACTAACTGCTCCTCAAACACACTAAACTCCTTGCTGATCCACCTCACATTCTCCTTCCTCTGCAAAGTCTCCTTTCACCTCCAAACAGGAACCTCTGCCTCAGCCCATGTACACATCATGTTTCAGCACTGTTACAATTATTTCCTTTCCTTTCTCTCTCTCTCTCTCTCTTTTTCTGTCACACACACACACCACACACTTCCAAGCCTGAGTTCTTGGAGGACAGGCACAGTGTATTTTCATCTCTTATTCTCAAGGTCCCAGCACGGCGGCAAGTCAATAAGTAGACTAAATGAATGGTATGAGTGATGTTAACACCTCACAGCATCATTCCAGTAAGCAGCTAAGGCCTTTCTCCCGGAGGATGCTAAAAAGAAGGGCAAGTTATAGTAGCTCCTGTCCTCTCGGGCAAACTCCAGAAGACAGAAGTTAATTATCCCCAAAGTTACTACAACTGAGAATGGTCCTCCACAGACTGCTGGCAGACTCTCCAAGCCTCTTGAAAGCCAATTCAATCACCTCTAAAACGGCAGAAACCAAGCTAGCTCCAGATCAAAAGACCACAGGAGAACTGACCTCTCTGATAGAGGAGGTACACCGATAACCTCCCTTTACCACCCAGCAATGGGGGAAGCACTCCGAAATGGAGAATGGTAAAAACAATGACTCTAATTACCATGAATAACAGAGGATCCTGATTGAGGGAGAGTCATCAGAGAAAAAAGCTAGAGACAGCAAAATATAACCCTACTCTCCACGTCCAGAGCTACAGCTGTAGTCCAGGCCACAAAGGGATGGCTGCAACGGCCTCCTTACTGGTCTCCCTGCTCCCACCCTCACCCCTCACTTCTGCCCCCCCACTCTCCAAAGAGCAGCCAGATGTTTTCAAAACCCTATCAACGATTAGGACACACTGCAGCATAACACCACACAACAGCTTTCCAGTCACTTAGAATAAAATCCAAACTCTTTAACAGAAGTTCGAGGTCTAACCCACCACTTCCTTATTTCTTACTACTCTCCCTTCAATCACTACATTCCAGAACACAGGGGTCCTCTTGGACAAACTTTTCCTATTCTGCCTCCCTGCCTGGAAGGCTCCTCCCCCAGATTTCTACAGAGCTGGTTCCTTCCAAAGGCTCAGTTCAAACTTTCTTTTCAAAGAAGCCTTCCTTGACCATTCTATATCTAAAGTGACATATAACCATCCCACCCCATCAGATCATCTTTTGTTTGTCTGTTTAGTACTTATCACCACCAGATGGTAGTTTTCTTCATTTATTTTCCTGTTTCTTGTCTTCTCGCCCATTAGAGTGGACACTCTGTTTTATTCACCCCTATAAATATAGTGCATGCAGTAGGCACTCAAAAAGAATTTCCAGAATATTTATTGACTATCAGAAGAGGGGCATCCTCAGGAAGAGCTATTTTGTCCTTCTGTGAGAATGAAGAAAACATCTATGTGCTGGGTACTGTAAATCCATGATCTTCCTTTCAGAAGGGTAAATTTACTAGCTCAAGGTCACACCAGCAGACTTTTGAATTAAATACTTGTTTGTATTACTCCTAAACCCTCCCACCTTTGCCCTCCTCTCAGGCGGAAGGGTTGTCACTGTATGACTCACTCTCATATTGCCAAAACAAGAAATATCGAACATTTCTAAATTGCTGTACAGTTACTAAAGCATTTCATTTAAGACAGATACAAAGCACTCGCCCAGAAAGCGAGTAAAGTAAGGGGGCCTCAAGGTTCAATACCCCGGCCCTGAACCCCAGTAGAGGGATTGGGAAGCAGTCTGGCCAAGAGAAGCACGGAGTCCATATTTCTGGTTCAGAGGGATGGGGAAGCGGTGAGTCACGGGTGAAGGCTTGCGCCACGGGAAACTCTGATAAGGCCAGGCTATGAGGCAACAGAAAGTGAATCACTGAGCTGGAAGACACCGAAGGCCTTATGGAGGCCAAACCCTGGCTGACGTATGGGGGAACTGATGCCTCAAAGGGAAAGCGACTGGCTCAAGTTCACTCAGCAAGTAAACACAGCGGGATACAGGGGTCTCCTCTCCCCTGTTCCCTTTTCTCTCCATCGAGGAGGCTTTTCAACGAGAATTGAGTTAGTAGGATGGGGAGAGGTCAGAGGCAGCTCAGATCCCAGAGAAGGGTCGGCAGAGGACAGGGCTAGGACCAGGAAGCACATAAATGTTAGGATGGGGGGCAGAAATGAGCCACGGAGGCAGTAGCAGTAGCTGGGAAGGTAGATGAGGCCAAAAGCAGGAGGAAAAGGCGGAAGTGAAAGAAATAGAGTGAGGGCGGAGGAAAGTGCTGTGAGATCGGGGTATGAAGGGGCCTGGAAGAGTGGGAAGAGCCTGAGGGGAGAGGGATGGAATGAGAGTCTGATGGTGGAAGAGCCCAGGGCTCAGGGAGACACTGAAGGGAGTCAGACGCGAAGGGGTCCTAGACCAGGAAGCCACGGAAGGAAGTCTGAGAGGGAGAGTTCCAGGGTCCTAGCAGACCTTGAGGCCAGTCTGACGAAGGTAGAGTCTGGCCCGGAGAGGCTCGGGGGAACTGTGGGGAGTCCGAAGGGGCCGGGCTGCCTCACCTCGCTTGTTTTTGGTGCCGTGCTTCTTGGCAGCCGTCAGTTCCTGCTCGATCTTCTTCTCCAGGAACTCCTGTTTCTTGCTTAGCATTTCCTCCGTGTCCCGAAGCCGTTGGATGGCCTCCTGGGGGGTCGGGCCACCCTTGCCGGCCTTACCCCCGCCAGCCCCGAACAGCTTCCCGAACACCGACATGGTTGCTGCTCGCCGCGCCGGCCTTCGCCGCCCGCTCCGGCTCGGCTAGGCTTCGGCGCCCGCTCCCGGCCCCGCCGCTCCCTGCAGCCGCAGG